CGAACCCCAATTAAGAAAAAGATTTCCTGCTCAAACACAGATGGAGACACAAACCCCTCTGGATCTATGTCAGGAAGAGCATTCAGCGTAAAAACTCTGCCGCATACAGAGTGGGGAGCTACCCCTTGTGTTGACCCCTTGTAAATAGGAAGCAGGAAGAAGTTAAAAGTAGCTTTATTTCAGTTTCTGGCAGCAGACTTCTCGGCACTGGTGCACCCAAACTGGTCCCACAATGTTTGGAGCATGAAGTTGTCCAAAATCCAGTTGCTTTCACTGGAACTAAGTGGCCAGTGACATATAATTTATTATAATTTATTTTATAATTTCTCTTCAGCAGTGACTTTCTTTACACCACTGCATTCAATGCTTTCCTTTGTGCTTGGTGATGTAAGGCTTGAATGCAGCTGCTTGGCTATGGAAACCCATTCCATGAAGTTCTCTATGTACCGTTATTGAGCTAATCTGAAGGTCTGTAGTGACTGATTCAGGAAGTTGGTGACCTCCAGAGAGTGAGAGTGATCCATTCTTTCGCAAACATTTAAAGAAGTAGCCTGCATGACTAGGTGTTTGATTTTACATCTATGGCCATGGAAGTTATTGGAACATCGGAATTTAGCAAATTGGATGGATGATGTGTATATATACATATACAGTATATATAGGCATACAATTTAGTGGATGTTTGATTTGAACGCTAGAGGAGATATCCTAGTAAAAAGAGATTAATCACTGTTTTTACTAATATTTATCTTGTCCACAATAATGCCAAACCCATATGGAAAAGAAATAGTAAAAACTTCTATGATTCACTCATGAAAGTGGCCACTTTCTCATTACTTTCTTACATTGTTTCAGTAAGTATCCAAAACATACAAGTTTCATTATATAATTTTTCAAGGGATCTTATCTCTGTTTTCACTCTCATATGCTTTTCATACAAGTTTCACACAAGACAGATACAAACTTGATAAGATTTATATATATCTTTTCCATATGGGAAGGATCAGCTTAGACAGCATGTTTATAAGATTTTTAACACCAAATAGTTTTCTCCAGATATAGAAGTAAAAGTTAATTTGAGGCTGTCATGTTAAAATCATGGTAATGGTAAAATTTCATCAAAAGTATGGATTACTGCATTGAGAATCCTGTAACGACTTACCTACTGAGATTTCTGGAGGAAGGTTTATAAAATGCCAAACACTTATACACCACTTTGCGTTTAATCATTTGTTTTGTCCTGTAAAAAATGAACTAATGTGCGTTTACCTGAGATTGTACTGTTCCGACCTCCTCCAGTTCAAATG